ACCTGAAAAACAACTTGGATGAAACTGCCCTTGACATTGCTAGGAGGACTGATATGTATCACTACCTTTTTGAAATAGTAGAAGACTGCATAAATGCCGTGTCCCCTTAAAAGCTGTGGTTAGGCTTATGAATGTGGGGTTTGCTGCTGCTTTCTTGTCTGTGTTGTGCATGCTCATCGGTGGTGGTCTGTCTCTTCGCAGCAAGGTTTTAATGTAAGATACTTTAGTGTTCTCCCCGGGCAAAATGTCACTTCTTGCAATTCAGCTCAGTGGTCTCACTCATAATTTGAAGTGTTACTGCTATTACTGAAGGTATTCACAAAGCCTCAGTAGTTTCTGTGAGTTTCCATTTAATTAGTATGAATTTGGAGAGGGCCTTTCTAATTTTTCTGTAGTGTCGTAGCAGTAAAGAGAACTGGAATATTTACTTGATATGAAAGAATTCTGGCTTGGTTAGGCAGAGTTTATTACAACTCACTTTGAATTTTTTGAGAAATTTTAACTTTTTTAAAACTGCATGAAAGCTCAGAATGAATGTAACTTATTTGGGTGATACACAAAATATTTAATGATCTTGGTATAAGGCTTATTCTAAAATAAAATATTTAACCTAAAGTACTTTGTCATATTTTTAATTAAAGGCTCATTTTGCAGTGCAAGCGCCTGTTCATAAATATGAAGTGTTATCCACAGGATGAGAAAGGAGTTTTAGGATTTTTTTTTCATTTACTTTTCAAGAAAACGACGTTCTGTCAAGATCCTGTTTACTTTTCCCTTGCAAAATTAAGTTGCTTAAAGATTTAAGGTCATGGACGTGGCATTGGTTGGAACAAATGAGCCTGAACTGTGTGAAGATAAACACACAGCATACTGTTGTGTCTGATTAGTTACAGGTAATTTAGTGTTTTTCTTCCACTTTTGAGTTAGTACATTGTTACAGCTTTATATTTTCTCACTTTTTCATAGTGATTTTTCACATACCAACAGCTCCTTGCCAGCAAGCTAGGACTCTTATTGTTAGGCGAGCCCTGGACTTAACGACTGGTTCATTGAGATGCTAGATAACCTTGGCACACCAGCTAAATCGGTAAGGGAGAACCCCCATCCCCCGTAGTCTCAGCTGGGAGTAGGGAGAGCTCAGGGGTTTTTTTCCTCGAGGGGGCTGGATTTGGCTTTTGCCCGGGCTCGGAGAGGGTGTGTGGAGAGAAGGGGTCTGGAGTTCAGGTTTTTTTTTCGCAGGGGTCATTTTTTGGCTTCTGGCCCCGAGGGAGGTCCCAGTTCTCATCTGAGCCCTCAGGCTCTGCTGTGCCCACTGCCTGGACTTGCCTCGAGTTCATCGGAAAGCCGGTGCCATCTGCGGTGGAGTCTTTGGGCCAGCGCCCCTTGCTGGGGGTGGCCATAACTGCGCCGAGAGGCGAAAGGACTCGCTTGTTCTCAGTGAGAGTTTGTTTGCGGGGTCATTGCTTGCTTGTTTGTGTTACATATATATACATATATATTCTTTAGTATCCTTTAGTAAAGAGCTGTTATTTTCTTTTCCACACCTTTTCGACTGGAGCCTCTTAATTTCAAAGTTATAATTACTCAGAAGGAGGAGCTTGGTTTTTCTCGTGTCCCACCCTCCTTAGCAAATGCTTCTGTCTCGTCAAACTGAGACATGCAAGAAAGATTTTCCCATGGTAGTGGCATGCTGCGTGATTTTCAGCTTTGCCATCTGTAATTTAGAAGTGGAGAAACTTGCTTCTCTCTGTTAAACAAATGGAACTGAAAATTGAATGTAAGGCCTGAAGTTCTGTCCCTCAGTATGAGAGCTGTAACAAAACACTTTGTTGTCCCATGCAGGTTTCTTACTGAGTGATCCCATGCTCCTTCCAGACACCACTAAGTCCCTGGTGGTGCAGTGGCTAAACCACAGCGTTATCAACGCTGAGATCTGGGTTCGAATCCCGGTTAGGACACTCCCCGGGCAGATGGAGCTCGCTAGCCCTGTAAGGCAATCCATCTACGTCCTGAGGACCTCGCTGCCACCGTCCAAGCGTGCTTGGCCCCGGCAGATGAACCTCAGGATTAAAGGGTGGGCTCAGTTCCGCGCACACTGTGTCTCACCTAAAAAATCCAATGCGCAGGCTGGANGCATATTGCTGCAGGAAACAAGAACAGCAGAGAAACCCTCGAGCTCTTGCTGATGAATCGCTACGTGAAACCAGACCTGAAAAACAACTTGGATGAAACTGCCCTTGACATTGCTAGGAGGACTGATATGTATCACTACCTTTTTGAAATAGTAGAAGACTGCATAAATGCCGTGTCCCCTTAAAAGCTGTGGTTAGGCTTATGAATGTGGGGTTTGCTGCTGCTTTCTTGTCTGTGTTGTGCATGCTCATCGGTGGTGGTCTGTCTCTTCGCAGCAAGGTTTTAATGTAAGATACTTCAGTGTTCTCCCCGGGCAAAATGTCACTTCTTGCAATTCAGCTCAGTGGTCTCACTCATAATTTGAAGTGTTACTGCTCTTACTGAAGGTATTCACAAAGCCTCAGTAGTTTCTGTGAGTTTCCATTTAATTAGTACGAATTTGGAGAGGGCCTTTCTAATTTTTCTGTAGTGTCGTAGCAGTAAAGAGAACTGGAATATTTACTTGATATGAAAGAATTCTGGCTTGGTTAGGCAGAGTTTATTACAACTCACTTTGAATTTTTTGAGAAATTTTAACTTTTTTAAAACTGCACGAAAGCTCAGAATGAATGTAACTTATTTGGGTGATACACAAAATATTTAATGATCTTGGTTCTAAAATAAAATATTTAACCTAAAGTACTTCGTCATATTTTTAATTGAAGGCTCATTTTGCAGTGCAAGCGCCTGTTCATAAATATGAAGTGTTATCCACAGGATGAGAAAGGAGTTTGGAGGTTTTTTTTTTCATTTACTTTTCAAGAAAATGACGTTCTGTCAAGATCCTGTTTACTTTTCCCTTGCAAAATTAAGTTGCTTAAAGATTTAAGGTCATGGACGTGGCATTGGTTGGAACAAATGAGCCTGAACTGTGTGAAGATAAACACACAGCATACTGTTGTGTCTGATTAGTTACAGGTAATTTAGTGTTTCTCTTCCACTTTTGAGTTAGTACATTGTTACAGCTTTATATTTTGTCACTTTTTCATAGTGATTTTTCACATACCAACAGCTCCTTGCCAGCAAGCTAGGACTCTTATTGTTAGGCGAGCCCTGGACTTAACGACTGGTTCATTGAAATGCTAGATAACCTCGGCACACCAGCTAAATCGGTAAGGGAGAACCCCCATCCCCCGTAGTCTCAGCTGGGAGTAGGGAGAGCTCAGGGGTTTTTTCCTCGAGGGGGGCTAGATTTGGCTTTTGCCCGGGCTCGGAGAGGGTATGTGGAGAGAAGGGGTCTGGGGTTCGTTTGTTTTTTTTTTTTCCGGACAGGTCATTTTTCGGCTTCTGGCCCCGAGGGAGGTCCCAGTTCTCATCTGAGCCCTCACGCTCTGCTGTGCCCGCTGCCTGGACTTGCCTCGAGTTCATCGGAAAGCCGGTGCCATCTGCGGTGGAGTCTTTGGGCCAGCGCCCCTTGCTGGGGGTGGCCATAACTGCGCCGAGAGGCGAAAGGACTCGCTTGTTCTCAGTGAGAGTTTGTTTGCGGGGTCATTGCTTGTTTGTTTGTGTTACATATATATACATATATATTCTTTAGTATCCTTTAGTAAAGAGCTGTTATTTTCTTTTCCACACCTTTTCGACTGGAGCCTCTTAATTTCGAAGTTATAATTACTCAGAAGGAGGAGCTTGGTTTTTCTCGTGTCCCACCCTCCTTAGCAAATGCTTCTGTCTCGTCAAACTGAGACATGCAAGAAAGATTTTCCCATGGTAGTGGCATGCTGCGTGATTTTCAGCTTTGCCATCTGCAATTTAGAAGTGGAGAAACTTGCTTCTCTCTGTTAAACAAATGGAACTGAAAATTGAATGTAAGGCCCGAAGTTCTGTCCCTCAGTAAGTGAGCTGTAACAAAACACTTTGTTCCATGCAGGTTTCTTACTGAGTGATCCTATGCTCCTTCCAGACACCACTAACACAGCTGAAGCACAATTGTCACAGCAGCAGCAGCAGGGTTGGGGTATGTTGGCCCACATTTGGTGCTCTCATCAAGCAACTGTGGAGGGCATTTCTGTCGCCCACCTTTTAGAGGGAGTGTGTAATGTGCAGCACTTCTGTTAGAAAATGAAGAACAGCCTCTGAACTATGAATGGTATAAGATGATTTTAATGCTTATTATTTTTGAAAGTTTGGTTTCAGGACACCAGTGGAATATGAATATACCTTGAACTGTGTCAAGGAGTAATAGAGATGTGGATTACATCATGGATTTGTGTAACCAGACTTGGTTTGTATCTTATAAATTCTCACTACCATATGCAAAGAGTCAGTTTCAAGGAAGCTACTGCAGAGGAAAGCTTTCAGTCAGGTGAGCAGGACAGCTTCCCTGTGTGCCTGCTGGCAGCATCATCCATTGACTACTGTAAACGACAGCTGTTCCTCTTACTCAAAACTGTAACTGTGCCAAAACAAGGAGAGTCAAGTATACTTCAGACTTATAACCAGCATCTCAAGATGCCTCATTTTATGACCAAGCTAGTACTTTTGAGTATCAGTAGATCTACATCAGTTAAACTGGACTCTTCTCTCATTACTTCTGTCAGTCCACCATTGCCTTTGGCAAGAGTAGCAAGACATCCTTCCTTGAGGCAGGCCAGTGGTGACACCTCATGGGGGTACATGGTGATGTGCATGCCCCTCTCCTGAGTGGGGTCACGCTGACTGACAAAAAGGAGTAGCTGTTAATGGCACCCAGAGCTGACACCCACCACCGTGCCCCAGGCAGGCATGAGGTGTCCATGGCCTGCTGGCCCCTGGGGATGGTAGCTGGCCGCGCCGGGCCTCGGCGGGCACCCCTGTGAGAAATAAATGAAACGGTTTTATTACAAGCAGGGTTTCCATGATTGCCTCATGATGAGGAGTTTGTGATCAGGAGTGTTCCGCAGTTGTCTATGGCTGCAGTTCTGTTGGAGCCATGACCTGTTGATGGTTGTGATCATGTTAGTGTTGCTTGCTATTGCTGTGTGGTAGCGAACCGGGAAGCCTGTAAGGCAATGAGACCAGCCAGGGCTCATTGCCAAGGGACCATGCGGCCAGGACAGGGAAACAATCTGATAGGTTAATTAAAACGACCAATGGACTGCAAAAGAGAAGTGTGAGCAGAGAACTGATCGGGCTCAAGAAAAGGCTATATTGCATTTTAAGGAAGAAAGAGAGCAGAGCAGAGCTGAGCATGGGAGGGACAAGGGAACAGTTATGAAAATTGAGAGACCTTAAAAGAACTGCCCCCCCAACCCCCCTCCATCTCGGGTGTGCTCTCAGGCCCTGGCACGAGGCAAACCTGACCGCACCCAGCGCGCGTTGAAAATAAAAGTTCTTTCTTTCACTTTATTTGGCCGTCTTCAAAATTTTAATTTGAGATATTTCTCACACCCCCGCGCTGATCCCTGGCCTGTGGAAATGTGGCCGGAAATGTGGGACCCGATCCGCCGGCCCCAGGCGCTGGGCTCCATCCCTCGGGAACTCGCAGCCAACGTGGCGGCCCCGCCTGCGCGGGCGGCCCGGCAACCTCCCGTGGCAACAGCCCGACTGCAACGCCCGGGCACGGCGGCCATGAGGGCGGCGGGCCGGCAGCTGCCGGCGGCGGAGGCCGAGGAGCCGGGCAGCGATGCCCGCGGCGAGCAGCCCCGTGAGCACGGCTGTCCCGGTCCCCGGCCGCCCCTGCCCCACCCCGGCGCGCCCCGCCGTGTCCCCTCGGGGAGCCGAGCCGGCCACCCGCGGCTCCTCACTGATGCCCCGCGGGCACTTTGGCGGCCACTCGCTGCCCCCGGCACCGCCGCCAGAGACTGCCCTGCAGCCATGAGGTGCCTGCATCCCTCTTCAGCTCCTTGGAGACCTCCTTCAGCGGGGACATCTCCTTGGATGCTCGTTCATGCTCGGCCCTGCCTTGGGATGTCTGTCGTGGGGAGGCGCAGTGGCCGTGTCTCCCCGAGTGCCCTGGGTGGCCTTAGCTACCAGCACACCCCATATCGATGTACCCCACCAGGGTCTTGTCCTGTACCATCCTCCTATCCTGAGGAATCACTCGGTTTTGGGGAGCAGGGCCTGGCTGAACACTATCATGTATTTGTAAATGCATTGTCTTACAGTGCATTGAAGTTACAGTGTATTAAAGTAACAGCGTATTAAAGACAGAAGCAGAGCAGCATAATTTGACAATTCAGAAAAGCATGTCAGCGTTCAGGGGATTTGTAACAACTGTTTCTTTTGTAATACGTTTTACTAACAGGGAAGAAATGTGTATATGTTGAGCCATCTAGGAGAGTTAAAGAAATACTCGAGGAACACCTTCGTTTTCAGGAAGAAGAATGCAATGTTAAACATCCAGCTGCAGGTAATCCCTCCTTATGAGCAAAGGGCAAGTGTTTGTCAGGACAAATTGTTGTTTTAAGGAACTGCAGAAAAATTATTTCAAAAAAAACCTACCCAGAATATTTATGTCATATCCTGGGGAACATTTTATGTAAAACACATAAACAGAAGAATTGCATGTAGTCTTTATTACTTTTTTTCTTTTTTGTCCGAAATTATGGGACCACAGAGAACATGGATAATCCCATATGATCTATCAGTTTAATAAAGCTGAAACAAGTGCCAAGCAGTAGGAAGAGATTTTATTACCTTTTTCTTTTGAAAGAAGTGCTGTAATTATTAGAATAGTTTCTCTTGTGTAGGATTGAGAGACCCAATTCTAAATTCAGTCAAAATGAATTTAAAACAGTTGGATTCAAAGACAAAAGTGTACGTAAATTGGGTAATGTAATCAGTATCAGATGAGCCTGCATCGGTATTGTTGTGATTAATCTTGTTAGGCAATTACAGCACACACCTGCAAATGACTGACTTATGTAGATTCTGTTTATAGTAAATGAAGAGAAAAAGGTACTTTGAAAATGCAGTTCTTTTGGCTTGTCCTAGATACCTGCTATTGCATGTCATACTCATTGACTCAAAAGGGGTCCTGAACATGTAGCTGAATTGCAGATGTTAACATTGGTCTGCTCTATCTGCTCATGTTCCTAATGTTACTAGGAGCTGAATACAACTATTTCGCTGCATCCATCTGTCAATGAATTAGTTGTCTGCAGTATTTTGGTCGGATTGTATAATTGGATGTTACCTTATATGTTCTCACGATTTCTCAAAAGTCTCCCAGTGAAATGTATGTTACAAAGGCTTATAGTACTAAAGATAACATAGAAACATTACAAAAATACTGATTACAGGAATGAATAATATGGATCTATAACAAGCTCAGTATAGAAATGGTATTATATATTCAGTATTGAAATGATATTATAGCATAATGTTATAGGCATAATACAACAACACTATGAATAATAAATACAGTCAGATGGATGGTGGTGTACAGACTATTCAGTAACCCTTTTTCATGTGTTTCATGTGGGGAATTAGACATGCTCCCTAAGTGGCCTGGGCTCTGATAAACAACAGTTGTCTATTTTACACAGCTTAGATTATGAAAGTGTATTGTTTTACATAAATTAGATGATTAGTAAGTTGGAACCTTTCCACAAAATGAATTAGCTTTTTATTTAATTCTGGTGGTGTTGGCTTTGTTTTGGTTTGGTTGGGTTTTGTTGGGTTTTTATTTTTGTGGTTTTTTTACGGGGGGTGGAGGGGGACATTTTCTTCTATCTTTTTATGAGGGCATTTGATATTCCAGTATGACCAAAAAATGATGCTGGATGCATCAGTGATATTACTGATGTTTCTTATATGTTATAGCCAAGCTATTTCCTTCTTCAATTAGGAGCCTTAGTAGTCTTAATCTGTTCTACAGACAGTAGAGAGCATTGTATGCCTTTAGCAATCTGAATTGCTCTCTGAAGATGTCAATCTATTTTCATTAACTATGGAAGAATATTATTACATTAATTCTAGAACATGTTGAAGAAATCACTTATAATGCTATTATTTTGCCAAATTATTAACAGTGGCTCTAGAAGGAGTTTGGGACGTGAAAAACAATTTCTCCATTAGAAGCCTGAAAGCAGTGTCACAGAACAGAAGCAGTTTACTTTTACAGCCTCAATTCTACTCAAGACATGCAAGAATGAAAAGTAAGAGTTAAGAAACATTCACTATAACACATCATTTTTAAGTTGCAGGGCATCTTTCTGCAGAACTAACTCACCTATTCCTTTAATAAGTAGCCAACAGACTTGAAATCTTTGCGTAAGAAATCTGTTTAGGACTGCTATGTTGAGTCACCTTATTTCATATTCTAAAACCTTTTGTAAATGTATCGAATAATCACTTGCTTCCTGCTGATAGGTGGTGAGTGTTGGTTTCATGTTCATAATGAACCTTACTTGCTGTTCTTAACATCCAACCTTAACAAATTCAATTGTTTGGAAAAGCCCTTCTCCAACACATCTCCTGAAAAGAGCATGATCTAGGTAACCTTTCAGGCATTTTAGTATTTGCCTGCAATGTCAGCTAGCTCTATGGGGAATGTATTTCTTTCTTTACCGTCTGTGCAGCGTGTCTTTTGTGGAGCAAACCTGTTCCTTATAAGCTAGTGAATTTTAGCGTAGTCTTCTAAATGTGCCCACCTTCTTTGCCTCAGTGAAATGTATTAACTTCATAGTAGAAGGGGAAAGCTTCCAACCCTAAGGAAACACAGTTTGTTAGCTTTTTAAGAGGAATATTTTTAGTGCCACGACCTTGCAGAATTTATGTACTCAGCATATTTTGCCATTAAATGAAGCTCCTTCCCACGTTCTCAGGGGTTGGTGGTTTAAAAATACAGGTACGTCCATGACTAGCACTTCTTTCTTCTGATTTTGATCTTGTGAGGTCTGGAGATAGTGGTGTCTTAGTTACAACAGTGGCATGAATTAAGTTATTACTGGTATAAGAACTGTTTACCAGTACAGCCTTCTGACATGCTCCTTTACTTTAGAGTTACTATTTGTAGGAACATTTTGGTTACAGAGCAGGCCTAAAATACAACCAAAAAAATGACTCAGAGTTTTGAGATGCTGACATAATTTTAAAACTCATGTTAAACTGAGGCTTCTAGTGAAGGCAAGCAGAGTTTTCAAAAATTATGATCTCCACTTCCTATTAAGATCTATGAAGAAAGAACAGCTTTAGAATAAAGCAGTTTATTCAAATTGATGTAGGTGCTGAAATTTATGGAATCTGTTGGTTTTCCTTTGGGAATTCAGATGTACCTTCCTTCTCAGAGACTGCTGCTAGGGACAAGTGATTCTCTCCTCACTAATGATACTGAGTGTTCTGAATAGGCAGGTATCATGAGAGAGGAGGTGACAAAAAAGATACATGATAGGAGAAAAATTAGGAGCAATCTGGCTTATGCTCCTATAGACACCAAACTATCTTCATTCACACCCCCTGTTCTATGTAAGGGTCTGGGGAAGAAATGAAGGAGTAGTATACTCCCTCAAAATATAGTTGGGAGATGCAGTAGGTACAGGTTATGGAAATGGACAAAAAAGAACAGGTGTTTCTAGAGATGAGCCCACTGTGTTCAGTGCCAGAAGGAGAGGATCTAGCAAAAGGAAAAAGAAGAAGCACTGACAAGGGGAATGAAAGGGGAGACATAGAACAGAAGGTCAGGATTTTCTGAAGTTAATGAATTTTGGCTTCTCCCTTTTAATGTCTTTCTTAAAAGTGACTACTGGTTTGGGGGACTCAGTATCTAATGTCTCATCCATCCTGCCTCATCTTGTTTTCTTACAGATTGCTGAACTTTAGTGCTATGAAGACCTGAGTCTGCTTTGATGTGTCAAATCAAACATCAGAATGACTAACTACCTTTGGAAATGTATATCTGTACTCCCAGAATTTTGAATAAAATTTTGCTTGAATATGGAGCTATGACTTTTTTTTTTTTTTGTTTTATGCATATACTCATGATGCTTTTCAATCTGATGTTTTTAAGTAGCCAAATCTGATCCATCTTTCAGCCAGCAATGAAGATACCACAATCCAAAGATCACAAAATGCTCTTGCTGACAAAAGTTCAACTGTGGAGCTCAATATTTTCATAGTCTTCTCTGTTGCAAAGGAATTCTAAGTTCCAGCAGAAGATTGTAATGTAATTGAAGACAGGCCTACAATGCTTTAGGCTGAATTCATCTATTAAACCGAGCATTTCAGAAGGCATGAGTTTGTGATTTGGTATCTAGTCTGATTTAATGAAAGTTTAACATAAATAAGCCTCTCTCTATATAAGAGTTATCATAGTATCAAAGAACCACAGAGACAGCACGAAACCTGAAATAACTTGCCACTTACTCTTAAACCATTGTTACAGCAAGGTAACACCAAATGATCATGAGTTTGTTTTGTATTGTCATGTCACTTATGAAACAAATGTGGATCCTTATAGATACTGTATAAAACCAGATCAAAAGATAGTTTTAAAGGTCATGGATGACTGGAGGGTGTATCAGAGACAAGAGTGGCCCTTGTCGCTCCATAACATAAGCTTCAGTGCTTTGGTACCAGGTGAGAGGCTGAAAGCTCTCTCCAGCAAAGCATTGGAGCTGGCAGGGCCTAATCTGTGCAGGAGGAAGTGAAGAGTGATAGAAGACAGACTCCCTACTGTGGGAGAGGGAAGCTCCCATTTGTTATCCCAATATGCTCTCTGGGGAGGTATACTGTGGAACAGATCTGGAATGATGGGGGAACATGCTGAGCCTTGTCTGGGCCTCAGACTTTTACTCCCTGCAGCCCCTCAGTGTGGTCACCAGTGATGCTTCCCAGGGGAGACATGAAGTGTGTCAGGCATGATAGTCCAACTTAATGATCTGTCTTTTCCATGTTACTAGAATAATTGCAGCACATTCCCAAATCAATAATACTTATCACTTATCTTACACTTTCCATTCCCAGAATTCTTCCCAGACAACTCTCCAGTGCATTTGTAGGATAAACAGGTATTACTGACTTTCTAAAGAAGAGAATTTGGAAAAATTCCAGTGAATTTTAGATTACAATGAAAAGATTAACTAGGATGGATGGGTAATTTAAAACAAAGGAGCTCCTTATTCCCAGCTATGCCTCAACTGATAATTCACATCTTTCTTAAGGTATGTGTGTTGACTTGACCTTGGCTGGGTACAGTGTGCCCACCAAAGCCACTCTATCACAGCCTCCTTCAGGCATCTGCCTGCTCCAGCAGTGAGTCCTCCAGGGGCTGCAAGTGGGTCGCTGCTCCCCCATGGACTTCCATGGGCTGCAGAGGCACAGCTGCCTCACCATGTTCTGTACCATGGGCTGCAGGGGAATCTCTGCTCCAGCACCTGGAGCACCTCCCCTCCCTCCTTCTGCGCTGACCTCGGGGTCTGCAGGGCTGTTTCTCTTACGTATTCTCACTCGTCTTTTCTCTGGATGCAGTTGCTTCTGCATTAACTTTTTTTTCCTTCTTAAATTTGTTATCCCTGAGGTGCTGCCACGGTCACTGAAGAGCACAGCCTTGGCCAGCTCTGGGTCTGTCTTGGAGCCTACTGGCACTGACTATGTCAGATATGGGGAAAGCTTCTAGAAACTTCTCGCAGAAGTCACCCTTGTAGTCAACCTTCTGCTACCAAAACATTGCCCAACAGGTGGAGGTGGTATTTGTTTCTGGGGCTTTCAGATCCTCAGGAAGTATCTAAACCACACTGAATATTGTTAAAAAGAAAGTCTCAGTGACAACTTTGTGAAGCTAGACTTTGTTTTCTCCTGCTTTTTTTACAGTTATCTGGAATGAAACTGGATGTTTGTTCTTTGATTGTCTGCAGTTCTTCTCTGACATTAAGGAGTTTTTTTATTTTTGTATCAGAAGGGAAAAAAACACCCAAACCCAAAATCAAAACAACCACTCACTTGGCTCCAAGCCAGCTCTTTTCAGCAGCTCCATTCGATTTCTAGATGAGAAAAATTATTGGCACTGAAAACTGTACCTGAGGCACTAGAGGAGTAGCTGCTTTTGAAAACATTATTCTCACATTTTAGATGCAAATTTGATCATGAATCACATAAAAATATTTAAAAAGCACTGGGTTTTCAGATAGAGGCTTTGATTAAATTTGTTGAATCTTGCTTCTGCTCCTTGTTTTGTTTTTATCCTACTTCCTTCTCCTTTCTTTGTCATTCTTTTTCATGATCTTGTTTCAAAATTTTCAAAATGAAAAGACTTTCTCGTTCTATCTCAGATTCCCGCACTAGCTTAGTTTTGCTGCAACAAAAGTAGATTTGTGAAGCTTATTTTCTCCTTTTCTCTCTTTCCTTTTTTATGCAACCTTGTACAACAGAGAAATGCCTGTTAGGTCTTTTCTATTGAATATATTACTTCAATTATGAGGCTTAGGTGATTCTTACCTAGTCTGATATATTCATGTTTGTGACCTTTTTATTTGTCTCATCTCTTAGTTGAATAAAACAAAGCAATTTGTTTAAATATAACATTGCATAATATTACAGTAATGTTACTGATGTTAATATGATATTTATAATACTTCATTAAAGAGGGTGTTGGTTAATTTAACTGTGCTCACATTTTATCATAGCAACTTTTTACTGTCTAACTGTTCAACTCACCTTTTCTATTTTTAGTTTTATTGTTTCCTAGCCAAACTAAACACTGCTGTTTTGCATGTATTAATATGAGTATTTAAACATTTACATTTTTCAAAGCCACATCTACATTTTTAAGTAATGAAGCACAGTAGAAGGAGGTCAAGTTATTAAAGGGACTGGTATTGATAGAACCATAACTAGATTATATGTGGTTTAGGAGATTTACTTCAAATCAGGGCTAGTTTTGTCTCCTGGACCAAAACATGACCTCAAAGCTTGAGGTTCAAAGATGTTTGAAGAGGAGCTTTACAACAAATCTTGCCCTCTGGCTTGGGGGATGCTCACTGGGTAAAATGAGAGCACCGGTCCTGGTTGCACATCACTGTAAGATGCATAAGATGCAGTCCAGTGCTCAAAAATACCAAAAAAGATTGAAATTAATGATAACTGCTAACACATATCCACAGGGACAGATTCTGGCTTCCTGGTACCCATATGTGTGTCAAAGAGTCTGAAGACCATGTGAGTTTGGCAGGGAAATTTTCTGCTCTGATTTTGGCTCTGGTCTACACTGGTGAACCACAAAGCCGTGTGCTTCAGTGGAAGATTGAAGAGTGTTCTGGACAAGATCGTCCATTCACAGAGAGCACAGCACGTTTGTTCATGCCTGTGCCTTGATCTGGAAATGTCAACTTCTCATAGTTTTAATCCAACCCTGCTCACAGCCACAAGTGGAACTGTAGTGAGGCAGAATATTTTAACATTACATTTGCTGCATGTGCAGTAATGTGAGTTTGTCTGCCCAGAAGCTGTTCATTCAAACAAGACAGGCATCAACTTTCAAGCCACTTTTATATCTATGGCTGTGTTTTAGAATTTTAAACTTCCAAGCAGAAAGATCATATTCCTGAACATGAAACACTAGGTAATCAAATTACAGGCATTTAAACTTTATGCTGAAATACAGGGTGCAATTTATACAGAACAGAAATTTTATCTGTTTATTATTATTATAATAAATTTAAAAACCTTATTATTTTTTTCATACAAGATTTAGGTTCTTACTTGGCAAAAACTTGCATTGAAACCATGGGGACTATTTATGAAGAAGACTTCAAAGTCATTCTTGGTGTCATTTTGGTACCAGATAGCATCCTGCTACTCTTTGAAGATGATCACATTTTCTTAAGATGAAAAACTCCACAAGGGTCCCCTGGTTGAGAAAATGTCTGGATTGATAGCTGTGGCTGAAAACGTAACCATGTGTTGCAGTACTTTTTAAACTGCATTTGTAAGACAGTTGACAAATAACTTCAAAGACTTTCTAGGCTTAAATATTTCTGAAGTGTGACAAAATAGAGTGAGTCAGAGTAGAAGAGGAAGCCAGTTAGGAAGCTCAGGGCAAAAACATTTACTGCTGTTAGAAACGGCAAATTTTTAACCTTCAAATAAGCAAAATATTTTTTTATTTTGCAGCAGCTTCATTACTAACAGACAGCATTTTATTTTAAATTCCTTACTATCAGCAACATGAGAACTTACTGTGTTTCCACAGAGCAGTTAAAGCACAGTTCCTCAAGTTGTGTATACAGCGCCAAGAAGTCTGTGTGGTCCTCAGTACATGGGGCTATCTCCTGGGCTGGTTTAACTCCAAAGCTGACAAAGCTAGATGAGTTGCCTGTGGGAGGTCTTCAAGCTTCTGGCAGTGCTACTCAGCCTTCATCATGCTGTACTTCTCTGTGATGTCCGTGGAGTTTTTCCTGAGTCAAAGGGAAAAAAACCCTGCTTGACAAAACCCTAGCAGCACAGAGAACTGATGTGATTGTGCCACAGGTGTGCCAGGGCGAGGTGGCACCAGGCAGAAAAGAGGCACACTGGAGCTGATGTGTGTTACTGTCAGGCTGGTATATATTCTTTAGAAGACAAATGAGACATTAAAAAGGCAACAGAAACTCCTCACCTACTCTCACATCTGGGGACACATAACTTCTAACCTTGGTCCTGACTGTCTACAGCAACACATCACATCTGGCTTTTAAGCTTAGTACACTGAAATCTCTAGGAGGCTGCTAGGCTTGTAGATGAAGGCATATCTATCAGTAGTGACTGTGATGAATACCTAATTGTCATATATTTCTGCTATTTCCCATATTTGGAGGGGTTTGAAGACAGCAGCAACAAAACAGACAGATCTGTAATTGGTAAAAATTCTAAAATATGCCTTAACTATAGGTTTTATCATACTCTACATATAAATTCTATAAAGATTTTTGAACTAATGAATTACGTACAACATGTAAATATAAATGTAAAAACTCATTTAATTTCCACGGAGGCAGATGTAACATGAAAATTAACTTAAGGTGATAATATTACTCATAGAAACGTTTTAGGCTACTGTCCTCTCATCTTGAATTGATATAATTCTTATTTATCGTAATAAAACAAATAGGAATTATTTTAGTACTGGATGCTCATGCTGTGTATACAGTCTCAGCTAATGTGGGTTTCAGTAAGCTTTCAGAAAGCTTTCAGCTTTCTTTCATACGCACTATAGAGCTTTAGCTGATGTTGTGTTGAGGAATATAGAAAGCCTTGTTTGGATCTCATGCTAAATAATTCAGGAGATTTGTTTCTGTATGACAATAGTCTTAATATGGATGCCACTGCAGTGCAGCTGAACATCAGAACTGAAGTTTCATTGTGACACTGCAAAAAAAAAAAGTATCCAGGCAACTCTTGCTATGAATCCTCACAAGGAAAGCGCTTTTTTTTTTTCTTTCAAGTTTGTCACTACTTGGCCTATAAAGATTTCCATATTGAGTTGTCCTGAAATGTTTCTTAAATGCTAAATTAATGCCAACATTTTTGTTGACTTACTATATGCAGGATCAGGCTTTGCATCATCAATATAAATGGTTAGGCTTTGGGTTTGGAATTGCTTAGCAACAAATCTTCAAGGAATGGAAACAAAAACATAGCTAGACAAAGACTCCTCCAAAGTCACATATCAGTGCTGAAAGTTCCTGAAGAAAAATAAGAACTGTCATTGCAGCTGATACGATCAAATTTATTGAGTGACTCAGAACTCCACAGAAGTCAATTGAGCTCTCCTGCTCACTTTCACGAGCCCCAGATTTCTCATATAATCTGCAAGAATGTCTAAATACACAAAATTACTAACAGAAGAGTTTTTTGACAACTTTGAATCTTTAATTAAGGCAGACTAGGGATTGTGTTCCTTTTAGGTAATGTTCATTGTATTGGATGTGCTCTGGATTGAGCCTAGGTACAGCTCAAGGCCTCAGAGGATTTTATTCTCCCTTAGCAATGTATTTCTGTATTTGTTTGCAGTTTTCTGCTGTGGTAAAGTAACTTTCCCATAATCCCATTTTGTGACTAAAATCAGTGTTATTTATCAAGATAGATGCTGTGTTTATGGCCTGAAGAGACTTTTGGGTGATATTAGCTATCTCACTATTTTTCAGAAACTACTAGGTTGGAAATCAGGTTTGACATCTTGGTTTGTAGAACTTCAATTCAGAGAGGCCTTAATAAATTTGGAGTGAGCCAACAGAAACCTTGAGAAGTTTGGCAAGTAGAAAGAAGAAGTTCTGCATGTGGAACAGAAAACTCTCATCACTGTACAGGCAGGGAACTGGCTGGCTGATAAAGAATCATGCTGGAAATGACCTGGGGCCTACATGAACATCAAGCTGAATGTGAGCTGTGGAAACCCACGCTAGAGCATGGGAAGAGGGTGAGGAGTCCTTCCCCTGAGGAGGCAGGAGCAGCAGAGAAAACGTGATGAACTGACAGCAGCCTCTGTTCCCCCATCTCCCTGTGCTGCTGTCTGGGTGGAGGCAGAGAAATCAAGAGTGAAGTTGAGCCCAGGAAGAAGGGAGAGGTGTGGAGGAAGGTGGTTTTCAATTTTGTTTAATCTTTCATTATCCTACTGATTTGACTGGCAATAAATTAATTTCCCCATGTCGGGTCTGTTTTGCTCGTGACAGTAACTGGTGAGTGATCTCTCCCTGTCCATATCTCGTCCCACGAGCCTTTAGTTATATTTTCTGTTCCCAGTGCAGGTGAGGAGTGCAGTGATACAGTGCCTGTGATAAGCACCCGGCACCCAGCCATGGTCAATCCAGCACAGGTCGCAAGGTGCCGATGCCCTGAGACCCCTGTGAGCGTCCCCACGACCCTTCCTGTGCGTGCTGGAGTCCCGGCTCTGCCCAGGGGAACCCTTCCTGATTGCGGGGACACAAATCCCCTGTGCAGCGCCGAGCCGGAGGATGAGCACCTGAGCAGCCCGGGGAGCCGGGGCCGCTGTCACCGCGCTGCAGCCGCCCGGCTGCCGTGGCGGAGCGGCCGCACGGGGGAGGCGGTGAGGCGGCGGAGCCCCGCCGAGAGCCCGAGCTCCGCTCTTCCCGCGGGCGGAGCGGCCGCGGGCGGAGCGCGGGCGGGGCGAGGCGGCAGCAGGACGGGGAGGCGGCGGGGGGAGGACGGGCCGGCATGGCCGGGAGGGGCGGTGGCAGCGGCACCTCCCCGCCGGGACCAGGGCCGGGGGTGGGGGCTGAGCGGCGGCGGCGGCAACAGCCCCAGCCCCGCGATGCGCTGCCCGGCCCCGGCGCCGCCGCTGCCCTGCGAGGGGCAGAGCGGCGGCAGCGGGCGGAGGGGATGGAGGCGGCCCCGCGGCGCTGCCCCGGCGGCTGCTGGCGGCGCTGGCGGCGGCGCTGGCGGCGCTGGGCGCTGGCGGCCGGGCTGCTGGGCGCCGCCGCCGCGCTCGCCCTGTTCGCCGCGCTGCGGGAGCCGGCGCGGGCGGGCAGCGAGGCGGTGACCGTGCTGCTGTGGTGGGAGCCCTTCGGCCGCCCGCGGCGCTTGGCCGACTGCCGGCGGCACTACAACATCAGCGGCTGCCGGCTCAGCGCCGACCGCAGTCGGTTCGCCGAGGCGCAGGCGGTTCTCTTCCACCACCGCGACCTGGCGCGGCACGGCCCCGGGGGGCTGCCCCGAGGGTCCCCGCCGCGGCCCCCGCTCCAGCGCTGGGTCTGGATGAACTTCGAGTCGCCTTCGCACTCGCCTGGCCTGCGGGGGCTGTCTGGGCTATTCAACTGGACCATGTCCTACCGCCGCGACTCCGACGTGTTCGTGCCCTACGGGTACCTCTATGCCCCGCCGAAGCCCCGGCCCTTCGTCCTGCCCCGCAAGACGCGGCTGGTGGCCTGGGTGATCAGCAACTGGAACGAGGAGCACGCCCGGGTCCGCTACTACCGCCAGCTGAAGGAGCACCTGCCCATCGACGTGTACGGGGCGCGGGGGCTGGCGCTGGCCGAGGGCGGTGTGGTGGAGACCATCTCAGCCTACAAGTTCTACCTGGCCTTCGAGAACTCCCAGCACACCGACTACATCACCGAGAAGCTCTGGAGAAACGCCTTCTCCGCCAGCGCCGTGCCCGTCGTCCTCGGACCCCGCAGGGCCAACTACGAGCGCTTCATCCCCCCTGACTCCTTCATCCACGTCGACGACTTCTCCAGCCCCCGTCTGCTGGCCACCTATCTGAAATTCCTCGATAAAAACAAACCCAACTACAGACGGTACTTTGCCTGGAGGCAGAAATACGATGTCCACGTCACCTCTTTCTGGGATGAGCATTTCTGCAAGGTCTGCGAGGCCGTTATAGCAGCTGGGAATCAAATCAAGATTGTACAAAATCTGGCCACCTGGTTTGAAAGCTGATGTGCCTGGTTGGCAAGGCTTGCCTGGCCAGCGTCAAGGTATAGGGAAGAATGGGTCTAACAGAAATCATTAGCCGAGGTAGTACACAGATGCCTGTCATCAGTGAGAGAAGCATACAGGTACAGGAAAACAAGTTGTGAAAAGCCTACAAAAAGACGATTTTTATTAAAGGGAAAATTATGAAAGGACAAAAAACCACATTGTGCCAGATGATTCTAAAGAACCAAGTTAAATTCCAAAAGTTGCACAGATCTGAAACTTTTAAAGTTCTGCACAGCTCAACATAAACATCTCATGCCAAGTTCTTCAGCTGTACAGCTGAAACTAATTTTGTCAGCTATGACAACTTCCTGGACTGTGAAACTTTCCTCTGCTTACAGGGGATACATGATCAGTGCTGGCTTTCCGTACTCCTAAGACAAAAGTGAATGTTTTAAACTGATTTTTATGTGTGTGAAAGCAGACATTTCTGAGCCACAAGTTTTGAATGTAAGAATGTAATGATACAGCAGCACCTTTTAGCAATGTTTAAAATTGCAGCAGCCAGCTAATAATGCTTTGAACCAAATAATTGTTCCATTTAGGAAAAAGCGTATGGGAGGAAACTGAAGCTCAGTGGACAAACAGCTCAGATGATGTAAAGTATTTCTTCCACTACCTACTGAAACCATGGGCATGTTTATCCTGTATGAAAGTATAATAGAACTTCAAGTACAGGAAAAGAGAGACTGTAGGGAAAAAAAGTCGGTACATTTACACCCTACCTTTATTTAGGAATTAGAAAATGTTTACAGGAATCTGCATGTTTTTCTCTGCAAAATTATTGCCATACAGAAAATGCAGGGAAAGACTGAGAATGGCAGGGGTTTTATTACTATATTGAATATGTATACAGAAAGACTAACTTATTTCTTGAGTATCAATAGACAGTGCTGTTGTGTAGCAACTGTTCAGGTTTATGGCATGCGTTTTTAAAAATGCTGGGTGACAGACTACTCAGAATGCTGCTTTGCTGTTTGTAAAATAATAATTACCAAACTCCCAAATCTCTCCCTTTCAAAAAGAAAATTACCATAGAGAATAAGATCTAGACTGTTGGTAAAATATAGATTGTATGAAGAAAGAATATCAAATGGGAAGAATTCACAATTTTTCTTCCTTTGGTTTTGAGGGGTTTTTTTCTGGCTCAGTTTTTTAATCGATAAATAGGTTCTTAAGATAAAACTTCTTCTCTCAGTGCCTGTTTGGAACATTTACAGTAGTTATTCCCTTTTAGACTGGTATTTTGCTGGAGTCATCCTAGTAGTTGTTATGTGGTTACTTTTTGGTTACATGTAGCCTCAGTGAAATCCAGCAAGAAACTTCAGTTACAATTACACATCCTTGGGAAACTGAACCCTTTATGCCCTTTGCAATTATAAAGTTTTGTAGGAAAAAAGTGGTAACCCACAAGGGTCCTGCCCAAATGATTAAGGTATTCCTTCAGCTCCTTTTTAAGGAGCTGAATAATCCATGGAGTTCCTCAGAGACTTCATTCAGAATAAAATCATGGGCACCAAACGTGGGAAAAGAAGAAAGTCAGTTGCAAATAAGAGATGAGCATAAGAATAGGTGAGTTTACTGGCATTTGTGAGTCATATTGAGGTTAGAAAAGGATTAGATTTGACTTAAGCAGTATGGGATGTTGGGTGAGTACTTTTAAGATTTGTGAGCTTCCTGTAATATATTTTAAATTAGATATTCCCCATGATTAGTAAGCATTAGTAATCCTTTAGTAAGGATTACTGGTTTACTGGAAAATGAACTAATAATAATAATAATAATAATAATAATAATAATAATAATAATGAAGTTAATTAATAATTTGCATAAGTTTACCAGATCAGATCTTGCAGACTTTTATGTTTATTCCCTTCTGCTTTTGTGCAGGGAAGGATGGTTGAAAATACTTCATGAAGCTTTCTGTTGTTAATGCCAGAGTTGTTGTTGAATATTTACTGGGAGAGGAAAGAAGACAGTCTACACAATGTGGGATGTAGTAGGGATGGTACCTAATGCTGCACTTTCACTTCAACAGGTCTAAAGTGATTGTTTAAAGTAAAAGCATGTTCTTCATGGTATGCTTGTCTGTTTCTCTACCAGTGGTTGCTACTCCCATAACGTTGCTTTTGACATTTTAAAAAGATCTGATATAAGTAAAACATTAACAGTAATAGCTCAGTGTCGGGATGATAGCATCTCTCTCCCTTTGAATTTGTAATTTCTTTTTTCTGTTCATTTTTTAATCACATTTCATATAAATGTAGACAAAAGCCCAATTTCAAAAGCTGTGAACTAATATTTAAGATTGCACTACTTTTTATCAGTTGCTGAAAACAGTGCATTTTTTTTTCAGTCCTCCTAATTTTTTTACCATTTTCTGAAAGTTTCCAGGCACACAGTTCTTCTGTGTAATCATTAATAACGCTGCAAGCGCAAGATCAGGCTATGGGAGAATGGAAATTTCCAGAGGTTGCAAACATTTATTGGATTTCTCAGCCTCTCTAAGAAAAACAGTTGAAATCTTTGAGGAACTAAAGTTTTGTAAAATTCGGAAAAGAGCTATGTAGCAGTTAAAGCATCACATTTGAATTAGATTTGAATTAGATGATCACAATTGCACAGTATTTGTAAGTTATGCGCTGGGAATTTTCAAGACTTGTATAGTGAAAACTGCAGTTTTTTTAAGTAATAATTGCAGAGCAATTGCACTGGGAGAAGAGAAGCCTTTTCTGGTTTCATCATTCTTACATTAGTGATGCACATTTTTCCCTTTACATTTGGAAGGAAACTCAGCCCAGGCCTACAGCAGATGAAGTCAGTATTACAACATCTCTATAAATCTCTGATTTTTGGCTCATCCACTCCACTGGCTGATAGTCTACTGTTACAGGCTAGGGACCAGCTTTTGTAATTTGCTTTGTCAAGCTCAAGTTCAATGATAAAGTTTTCCTGAGCAAATTGGACCATAGATCAGATACCAGACTCCACAGGACATTGCAGATGATGTATACAATCCATCTGTAAAAATCAAGCAAAGTTTTTTTCTATTTTAAGTAGACAAGTCTTTTTGAATACATTTTGAAAGAGTGTTTTATTCCATGCCTTAAAATATTGGGGTGAAGGGAGAGAAAGGAAGATTGTTATCTTCTGGGTTTTATAAGGAAAAGAAATAACATTACTTTTTGATTATAATGTAAATGGAATAGAGAATTATGTGATTCTTCAAGCTGCATATTATGTCTCAGGGAATTTTATACTGTAAGGTGTCTTGATCTTCATGGAATGAAGTAATGTTGTATTTGTATTAATTATATTGATTTACATTCAATACAATTAAAGAAAGGAAGTAGTGCAAAATGACTCTATTTTTTATTTGTCTTCTGTGTTACAAAAACTATGGAAAACTGCTTTTAAAAGAGAATGAATGTCTTTTCATGTTTGTTTAATCAATAAAAGTGGCTGATTGTTCTTCAAGTAGTCAGACCATTTGAGGTTAGTCATGAAACCTGGTTGTGCCAGGAGAAAAATATGTTCATAGGAGAGTCTGTGCTGAGTTATTTTCCATATGAAAAGGAGCATTTATTGAAGTTAGGTGTCTGTTGGAAAACTGTCATTTTAAACAAAATCAAAACCAAACTGTCCCTTGACCTACAGAGAATTTGAATGTGGTTAGATACTTCCCCCCTCCCCTTAAATTTCACAATGAGACTATGTTTATTTTGGTACTCAGCGTGTAGGGCAACACCTGCCCTTTTAGCTGCTGCTTTTTTCATGGTTGCCATTACTGTCTTCAATTAAGCAACAAAAGAGCAAGGACCCCAAGCTTTTGTCAATACTTTATGATACAAATTTTTATACAGCTGCTGTTCACCTCTCGCTTCATATGTCTTCTGTATTTCTTGGTGCACAGTATTGAGAAGCTTCAACATTTCTGAAACTTCCTGCCCAGCCTTGGTGAGGTCAGTGCTACAGTCCTCACTTTTTTCCCTTAAGGAATTGATGTTGCATCACCATCCCAATTAACTTTTGTAAGCAGAGTTTAAACTGACTTCTTGCTTACTCCTGCCTGAGATGGGAGATTTTTTTGCTCATTTTCCAAATGTGACTGAACACGGGATTGGGCAAAGTGGTGTAAATATTTTTCTGCCAAACACTGGGTACCATTTGTTCAAGCTTGTTTGGTGACTCTTAGGTGAGTTATGCCTGATTAAACTCGCTCACACAGCTCTCTATCCAACAGTCATATAAAACGGTGTTTGTATTAAGTGTAAATAGCCCTTTGTAGGGAGCGTAGAGCTGACTCATTCTAAAATCTGTTGACTAGAACACAATGACTTAATGTGGATTTAAGTGGTGTTTAACTAAAGATAAATCAGGATCCAAGTATAACAACCTGTTTCTAATCGGTAAAAAAAAAAAAAAAAGTGATTATTCAAGTAACTCAGGTGTTGCTTGCAACCAGCTCAGTTTATGTAACAGTCTTGGTTTAAAAATTTGTATAATGCTATATTTTCTTCAGTATAGTAATTTTAAAAACAACACCTGAGGCCAGAGTATCTATGTCTTCTCTATATTCTGCAGATGTTTTGCTTTATGATCTTGAGCTAAATTACTTAAGCCTAAATTTCAAACAGTGGCAGCTGTTCCTGCCAGTCTCACCCCAAAAAGTATCTGAGATGAACAAGTCAAAGCCTGTTTTTCAGGAGTACTTGGAGAGCTGCAGGGATTTCCCACTGCCAGTAGTAAGGTGCTCAGTGTGCTCAGGAAGCATCTTGGAGCTATGAGTCCATTTTAATTGAAAAATTTTCTTTTAAGGAGTATATACTTTTCTGAAATCCTTCAGTGATTTTAGGTCCTTTCATGGGTTTAATTTTTGCGACAGAGTTAAAACTGGACTTTATTTCAGTAATGCTTAATATTTTAATAATATTCTTTTAATAACTGTGAAAAGATGGTTCAAAATTTGTAATTTGAATTTTTCTCTATTTATTAAGCTGTCTTTTAAAGTTAATCATCCCACATGTAGGCTGTATGCATCACGGAAGAAAATTCTACATTTGCATCCTTGAATTTGCCACTGATGTAAAAGATGCTGTAGGTATTTTGGATTATGAGAAGCTCAGTCCAGGAAGACACAGAGCACTGGCAATGCCCAAGTTGTGGCATGCTGTGGCTTTGAGATCCTGGTCATGTGAGCACTCACGACTGGAAATTGGCCATCTTGGTTTTGAGCAGAAGGCAGAAAGATGATTGCAAATAGAAAGCATAGATTATCGGATTGTGAATATTTTGGTGCATTCGTAATGCTGCCAAATAACTTTGTGCAGCATTTAAAGATGATTGATTTATTTGAAGCAAGCTCTAAAGGACTACGTGAAATATAGCAAAATAATTGTCTTAAAGGCAAATTTGGATTTAAAATGGAAAAATGATGCCAAAATTACATTAAAAAAAAATAAAAAGAAGGAAAAAACTGTGCAATTGCAGGAAAACATGGATAGACATTTTAAACTGTTAACTGGGAACAAACAAATTTCCTTGGAAATGCTGACTCCAGCCCCAGTTAAAACCAGAGAACACAGGTTCAGTCATACTTGTGCTCATGCTTACATCTATTTCCGGAATGACCTCCTGAGGTTGTGGCAGAGCTCTGAACGTTTTTATTTCCCTTCCAGTCCCAAACCTATATTTTGCTTGGCCTATTACTAGTTTCCCTCCTTTTTCATTCGCATGTTGCTCCTTAAATGTGCACAGACTAGTGGCTTCAACGGCCTTTAGAGAAGCAGAGCTTAGAAGAAATAAGTTAATATATGGATGTTTGCTGAGAATTTTGGTTGTATTCTGCAAGAGTCCTGGGGTAAATGCAAGTAAGCAGTAGAAGCTGAATACAAAACAGAGAAGCATGTTTTATGGTAGTATCCTGTTGGACACTCCAGCCTGGAGTGAAACATCTCAGTAGATTTTTAAGGCTGAGACTTTATGTTGTGAGTTTTCTATTTAGTGGTGAAAATTATTTTGTCAGGTATTCCCAAATAGTCCAGCTGCTGTATTATCTCAGAATCACAGAATCACAGAATCACAGAGATGGAGTGTGAACACAGCGACTTTATTCAGTATGTCTGTACTGCGAAAAAATGTGTTAGGTTAGGTTAATTAGAGCAGAATTTGTCCTGAGTTCAGGCTCTGATAAAGCATATTAACACAAATCATTAATGAAAAAACCCAGGTTCACCACCTTATCTGTTACAGTATACGTGGTGAGGAATGTTTTCTGCACTCTCCGTACAGTTTAAAAATTTCTAGTAATGAGGCAGTTATTAAAGTGAGGAGTAACCCACAGGAGCTGTTGATTTCTTTGGAAACAATTTTTTTATGGGACTGCTGAAGCAGAGGAGATGAAGTCTGATCTCTTGCTCAGAAAGGAATGAGGAA